TTCGACCGAGGCGAATTTCTTCAGTATAGCAAGCACTTCAGAGGCTGAAACTTTGGTGAGTGGAAAAGTTAAATGTTTACTTGGTATAGGCCAAGACAGAAAAAGGTGAAAGTGAGCTTTTTTGAGTGACCTTTTCCTTGAAGTATAAAGAGCGAGTCACTCTAAAGTTTAATTTTGCTTCGTTAGCACTTTTTACTGAGTTTAATATTGCTTCGTTAGCACTGCCACTTTCCTCTGATCTGATGTTAAAGCTTTCAGATTTATTCGCAGTTGGATTTACAAGAGTAGAGATTTACAAGAGTAGCTGTATAGCTAATTTCTCCGAGAAAATAAATTGCGAAATCGCCTCGACTACGCGAGGAGGGAAAAATAGGTCAGGTGACTTAAGTTTTAAAAGGAACGATTTATCATGTAACAATATTCGAAGTCAAGTCATCAACCGTCGCAAGCGTAGGTACCAAGATAGCGAATCAAAGGGATCTAATGAATCAGGAACACAAAATTAATTGTAAGTTTCGAAATCGTTTGTTACTTTAACTGAGAATGTTGTAAATAATAATTTGTCACAATTGTCTCAATTTCAGTTGATGTAACCACGGACGCAACGAACCGTGTATACTCTAGTGCAAATAAATCTGACAACTTTGATCCCTGGTGGGCTAATCTTCNGATGTAACCACGGACGCAACGAACCGTGTATACTCTAGTGCAAATAAATCTGACAACTTTGATCCCTGGTGGGCTAATCTTCCAACTAAGTAGAGGAGAGCAAATCAGCAAAACCAAACAGTTACGCCATCAGAGTCTGTTCCAGGTATTTCGCACATTTGTTCTTTGGAGGTATTTTAATCCTACTACATGTACTTTGCTTTCGCACTTTCAAGTCTCATTGGCTCAGTTCCTAAGATATTGATTTTGGCCTTGATCACCTCACTGCACGAATACAATCAATCTACAGTACCGCCTGAAAGTATTCACCCATTTCCCGCATTCTTGCTGCGGGGCCTCCTCGCGTCATTGACACGGTATTCCCGCACTTGACGTTGTCTTTACCTAGGTAAAGCTGAGGATGGTATTTGTCCTGCCACGGCGGATGAGGTATTACCTCGGTAAAGAAGATGCATCAGGTTTGGGTAGCATTTTGTTTTCTGTTTCTTTGTGACGAAGTGTGCTTGAATGCTCAGTCTTGAATCTCCGCATTTTCATCGCAACGAAGCATTTGATAAAGCTGATCATTCATGTCAGTTACAAGATTGATAACACAAAAAAATTTGGTAGCTGCATAGTATGAACTTCACCAAATATATCTGTAACTTGGTAAAATATAGTGTCTCAGTTCTTTAACGCTGTGTTTAAAAAGCATTCCATTTTGCCAAGAAGAACACGACAGAGCATGTGTTCACTATCTGATTTCATGTCCTTGCATCATGCAAATGACGGGCAAACAACTAAAATTAATGCTCAAGGCCGGAATGGCTCTGAAATTTACTTTGATGAAAAGAAACCGGAGCAATACATTTAACTTCAATTCTGATTTATTTTGTAGCCATAATACCATCCATACTTCTCTGTTTATATGCGCTGCACTTTGTAGAGGACAGTTACAAAACCGAGTCAACTCCGATTGCTGATTTAAATAAAAATGGCAATTGCTCTTTATGCCTTGTTCTTGTATAGATTGAATCAGCGATCCAAGTTTTTCTGGTCCAAGTTTTGTCTCTGGTTCCTTGTGGACGATTGAGATGGAAGTTTATTAAATGTTACATTCGTGGAACCTGCTTCAAGTTCAAACATTTTCTTAGGAGACCAAACCATGAATAAAAGAAACCTTCATCGGCTTTTTTACATCTAGCTGTTTAATAACAGCACTCCAAACGTAACATAACTTAGCACAAAATGAAAGCAAGAACAGATCACAAAACCAAACCGCCGTTTATTACTCAGCTTGTTTTGCTTGAGTGCGTCGGTGACACATCGCTGACATGTGATTAAAACATACGTGAAACTACATCGTCAAACAGATGTCTCCTGCTTTGAACATGGAACTTGGTAGTATGTAAAATTAAGATTCTTAGCTCTTGTGTAGACAACTCAAATTTAGTTTGATAAATTTATAAACTCTTGAGTGTTTTGCCAATTGAAAACCTATCGGTCGATCAAATATTATTAGCCGCTTTGTAATTCGTCAAATTGCTTTGTGGCACCCAATGAATTTCCCTGTTTTCATGGTATACTTACCTCTAAATTTGGGGGATGGGTAAAATCGTGAACGAGATGCTAGATAAAGAATGGTCAAAATAGCTTTTGGCTTTAAAGGAAATGCGATATCTTATAAGATGTATCTCAGCCACTGTCTTCATTGAGAGCTCAGTAAGAAAGTAACACCCCTCATAAGTGGTCGCAATAAGGCTTGCTTATTTTATTTGCTTAATTCTGATCAAAATGTTGGAAAAAGTTCAAAGGTTGCTTTGCTGACAAAGGACATGCTGCTATTTTTGTATTGAATTCCAGGGTTTTTTGGAAGTAAGGGTTATGGTATAGTAATCTACGCATTTTTTGGTATCAACTGTCTTCTTTTTTATCTTTTACATGTACCTTTCAAAGAGTTTCAGTGTGTACGTAGTTTCTCCCGCTTCATTTATCTGTATCTCAAGATCTTAGAATCATACCTGTTTGATTTCCACTGATTCTGACAAAGAATTACCGTAATAAGCATTTTTTTCCAGTGGTGACTGCTCTTTATTCTTGACAGCATTCAACACATGTACATGTTATCTTCCTTTAGGCAAAGATTCCTACAGGGAAATATAATATTCACTTTTATACACTTGATCAAAAGGGGAGTTGAAACCTTTCACCAGTTTAGGCTAGTAGATTTTTTTAACATTTCATGTGACCTTTGGTGGAAATCAAAAGATGCTACATGTTTGATTTCCACTGATTCCTGACCTCTGTTGTTTCCAATACTTAGTCACGAAGTTGCGTTACTACTTTCAATGCATCAATTTTATAATTGAAAACAAATAAATGAACTAGAAGATGCGAACAGTTACATTTTTACCTGAAACTGGTAATGTTTAGTACTTGTAGCTTACGGCAGTAGTAGACTGCTCCATCCAGTTGCTGTTCTAATCAAGTGACCTTCAAAACCCTGCGAACCCCATTAAAACGACTATGAATAGTGTCGCCAGAGTTCATAAAAGGGCTTACTAATAGTCAGCACAAAAAAGTCATAAACACTTTGAGAGAGTGAAACAAACTATATCATAGGCATTTAGTAAATACATGTTAACCATTCGACTTTCCATCGGGTGTGTTTCTTGATTCCGGATTATGATGGAGTTTACAAGCAACGTAGCTGAAACAATGCCACTCTACACGATACACATACATTACCTCTCTGAGGTATTACCTCGTCTGTTTTACCACAGTATTTTTTCAATTGCGGTTGCACTCATCTTTACTGTGGTGCTACATATTTTCACCTGTGGTGAACGCGAGGTGTGAGCACGCGGCAAAGACGAGGTTTTGCTGCAACCTGATGGGTCCATACATGTAGTTTCAGGCAGTACTGTATCATCTTACAAAATTACACATTGCAATTACATCTTAGCTTTTTTAGATTAAAATTTCTCAATTTTTCAGTCTCCACTGCACCATTATGCAATGGACTTTGTCACACATATTTCAGTTGGTAATTTCCCTCAGTAAACAAACCGGCGAAGAAAACTCTGCCATTATAATTTTCTCACCAAGTTTTTTAGTCAAAGAACAACAGGTAGAAGTAAGAATGGTTGTAATTGCTTAGTGTCCGTTCTGCCCTGATGTGACATACAAATTCTCCCTACTGGTTTATATCTATTTCTGTGAGAGGTGGTTGCTTACGAGAGGTGGTCACAACCAGAGGTTCAACTGTAATGATATAATCATAGCCTGTATTTTACTGACTGTTTTCCCCTTTTTCCATCTCAGACCATGGTACATTATACAAACAGTGGAACTATGCTTGTTGATGACTTAAAGCTGTTTCTTCATGGCCTTCCACCTGATTGCCGAGAACGTACTTTAAAAGATTTTCTTGAAGGTACACGTACACACAAATTATTAAACTGTTGGGAGCCTCTTTTCCCCTAAATAAAATGCAGGAGGTATTATGAGGTAAGACGCTAAGACNGATTTTCTTGAAGGTACACGTACACACAAATTATTAAACTGTTGGGAGCCTCTTTTCCCCTAAATAAAATGCAGGAGGTATTATGAGGTAAGACGCTAAGACATGGCACAACCTCTTCTCATCTACACCACCTTTTGTGTTGGGGATCACTGATAAACACGTGTCTAAGAAACTCCAAGAGAAAAGACCAGCTACCAGTGTTGAAAGTAATTGGATATCCTGTCAGGAACTTAGATTTTTTCTAAATGTACTCCAGTAATGTACTCTTAAATTATGTTGTTTTCAATTTTTGTGTGTTGTTTGTGTGTGTTTGTTTGTGAGCCTGAATGTGTAGTTCCAGAAAATATCCATACCCACCGCAAGGAAGGTTAACGGGAATTCCAAGGGGGAGGGGGTTTCACAAAGCACATTATTTTTTAAAGGAAAGCATGACACTAAAATGGAATTTCCACAGGGGTGGGGGGTTCAAGCTAAAAAAACCTTCCATGGGAGGGGTATGGATATTTTCTGGAACAACACAATACATGTAAATGGAGTAAAAATNAACTGGAGTATTGAAAATAATTGAATTTTAACAAAGGAAATTCTAGATATTCCAGTGAACCTTCAACAAGGGATTAAAGATCTCTCTGTTAAATTATTAGCAAAATTGTGTTAACTTGTGAGAATCGTTAAAAGCTTGTAAAACAAAACCGATTTTAAAGGCCTGTTTATATTTATTCATGTTGCCATGGCAACGATCAAACGTCAGCTTAACCATCAGAAAACCAAAATTTGTGTTGTTAACTTGCTGCCAATTTTGGCGACCGCGGGATCAAGGGTTTTAGAGAAAAAGGTGAATGAACACAGGTATAAAAAACTGTGTTTAGCCACCTTAAGGCAGGGGGATGTGTTGCAGGTCAAAATGAAATTCAGGTTAAAATGATTTTAACCTCATTTAATGCTCCATTTCCTTTGTCTTCTAACCCTATTTATCCATGATCCATGAGTAATTAGGGTTAAGATTCATTTTAACCTGATTGTCGTTTTGACCTGCAACATATATATTCATGCTTAGTTGTTTCCCATCAACAGACACTACTGTACTGTGATGACAGTGGGCACTTCTACCAAGTGAAGGCCTGTCGTTATGTTAAACGACAATTTAGAAGAAAGGTGGTTAAGTATGATGTACTACCAAAAGAAAGATTCGATCCCAAACCAGTAAAGTACATGTACACACCTCCGGAACATGTACATCAGTTTACACCTGACTACAGCATGCTTTTGCTCTCTAAACCAAAGAGAAAGAGAAAAAAGGGAGATGATTTAACAGTCTGGTTTGGTGGTGTTGGTTCAGCTTCATTTAAGAAGAGA